TCCTGGTGCATCTCCAGGACTCCTCTCCCGTCAGCTTTTCCCTGTAGGTGCAATTAAAGGTTCAGGACCCCCCCTGCGCCGCGTTCCCCTGGGAGTCGCGGCTGCCTCTGCTCCGATCGGGAGGTGCCGTGGTGGGTGTGTTCAAGCTCTTCTCTCTCTAGTATTTAGGTCAAAAAGAAATGACTACATTCTTGTGGTTTAGGCTAATGTTTTCCCCCAGAAGCTCTGGCTTTGTTCAAGCCTTTCAGTTCCCTGCTGCCCCCACCATCCCTGGGAAGCTGCAAGTGCTGAGCAGGGAGGATTTGAGGCCCACCCCCCCCAGAACCTGGTGGTCCTTATTCCCAAATCTGCCACTGGATTCATTCTGGGGCGGTCATCCCCACCCGCCACAGCTCAGCTTCATCAGTGAGATGGAGACAGCGATCACAGCCTGCTGCGGGCAGCGGGTTCGTGCCGGGGGGGTCCCACTGTGGGGTGCTGGGGGGTGCGGTGGACGCTGGGTGTCGATGCTGGGCGCTGGGACTTTGGGATGCGTCGTTAATTCTGCTTTCATTCCCACCGCAGCCTTTGCTGAGCTGCAGACCGACATTAACGAGCTGACCAACGACCTGGACGGGGCTGGCATCCCCTTTCTGGATTACCGCACCTACGCCATGCGGGTTCTCTTCCCCGGGATAGAAGATCACCCCGTGCTGAAGGAGATGGAGGTGTGGTTCTGTCTGTCCTGGGGGTGTTTCACGCTGGGATGTGCCCTTGCACCAGTCTCCAGGCCCCACACGTTGGGCTGGAGAAACGTTTGGTCGAACGAGCCTCTCGCCACGCGGCTGCAGACCGGCTGCCAAATGGTCACTGCGCTCTCTGACACAAATATCAATATTTATATTAATATCATTGCTGCTGTCATTTTCTACAGCACTTGCTTTATTCAGTTGGGTTGGTTTGATGCCTGACTGGCCGCTCGTTTCTAGCAGGCTTGTCCGACTTCGCCTGCTTACTTGGCTGTGTTCCCCCGTGCAGAGCCCGTCCTTGGCATCCTTCCCCTGCTCCCCAAACCAGCTCCCTCTCCTCACCCAGCCTCCCCACCTCTCTGTAATTTAGTGCGTGCGATTGCACAGCAATTGGCTTCTCGTTCGCTGGGCTGCCGAGGCCGCTCTTGATTAGAGAAAGGAGGGGGGTGACCTTAGCTTCCCCTCGCTGCTGACCTGGCGCAGTAATTAATGTCGACGTGGGCTTCACAATGTATTTAGGAGAAGTAATTGGCCCTGGTGCAAGATGCACGGTCACTAATTACAGCACAACAAGCTCTTACCAACTGCAAGTGCACGTGCTGGTGTTGTACGCCAGCGTGGCGGCCTGGCCCTCTGCCTGCTCTCTTTCCCTGGGCCCTAATCCCAGCTCTGAGGGGCGATGGGGACCCCGTTTTCATGGATTTCCCCCTGCAGCGTGGTTTCCGGGTGCTCGGAGCGCAGCCGGCGGGAGCATCGCCCTCCCTGGGGCACAGCCCTTCCTGTCTGGGCAAGCGCCTGGCTCTCCCCTCACCTCTGCTCTTGCTCTTTCATGATTTTCCCTAAAGGGAGAAGGGTGGAAAGGTTATCAGAAGAAGCTATCAGAGGAGGAATTTTATATTGGCTGTGACAGGCTGGGTGGGAGTTTGTCCACTTCCAGCTCCTAATTCAAAACATCCCACTTGAGAGAGCACACCAGCTCAGCCTGGCCTGGGAAACAAAGGGTTAAAGTTGTAAAGGGGGGGGGGGGGGGGAATCCCCCAAAGAGAATAAATAAAGCAACTACAGTTGTGTAAGCTTCATATAATTTAATCAGGTTTGCTTTTATTTGTCTCTACTCGGAGTGTAACATTAGCTATTGCAAGTGACGGGAAGGAAACGGCACTTGCTCACGCCTGCGCTAACGCGCGGCCAGCGTCAGGCTGCTGGTACCGGCCCCCCTGCTCTCTAGGTTTTGGAGGGGAGGTTGGTTGCTTTGTGATTAAATATTTAATTCATTATCATGCATTTATTTCTGCTGATGATCAGCGAGTTAAACATGAGGGCCCGGGGAGGTGACAGGCACGTGGGGGGCTCAGGCTGCTTGGGACGGGGGGTTCGTGTCCTCCCGTGCCCCCTGCCAAGGCTCCAGTGTCATGGTCACTGTTGGGCAGGACCCCTTTGCCTGGTCTTGGCTGCCAAAGCACCAGCACCATGCAGGTGTGGGGATGCACCACGTCTCCCTCTGCCCTGGTGGTACTGGGGTGTCTGGTGGTTCTCCAGTGCAGCCGCTGGGCTCCAGCCTCCAACCTCCCCGTGCCGAGGAATCCACCGGCATCTCCGGGACCCTCTGGGGAGCCCCTGGCCTCAAGCTGCCCAGGGCAGGGTCAGGCTGGCTCTGAGGAAGGATTTCTGTGCAGAAGGGGCTGTTGGGCGTTGGAATGGGCTGCCCAGGGCAGGGGGGAGTCCCCGGGATCCCTGGAGGGGTTGAAGAGTCGGGCTGAGCCAGCGCTGAGGGGTCTGGGGGAGTTGGGAAGGGTCAGGGGGAGGGTCATGGTTGGGCTGGAGGAGCTGCAAGGGCTTTTCCAACCTGGATGGTTCTCTGATTCTGTGAACCTCAGACATTTGCCCGAGTTACCAGCATCATCGCATCAAGGTCTCCACGTAGTGTGGAGGGAGGGACTCCAGGAAAACATAATTTCAGGCATTTCTGTTCCTAGCAGGACGTTATCCTCTGACCTGCATTAAGGGAAATGGAGCCACGTGCTTGCTCATGTGGTGCCTGCAGGAGGAACCCCCAGGATGGGGCAGAGAGGGTCTGTCGCTCCCCCGTCACCCCTCTGGGCTGCTCTGGGACAGGCGTCCCTGCTGATGAGGGTGACAGCGGTGCCTGGGGGCTCCTATCGCAGAACTGACAAGGACTGGGTGGGAACTGGGGGGTTTTGTCCAGTGAGAAAGAGTATTTAGGACGGGGAAGTTACAACTATGAGGAATTTCGCTGAACTGAAGAGCACCGATCCAAAGTTTTGATTGAAGTGAAATGATTTGATGTGTCAAAACCCTGTTCTTCATTTTGAGACGGTGTTTTGAAATGAAAAGTGTTGTTTTGTCTCCAAATATCGACGTGAAATGAAATTTTTCACTTGTTCTCCCAATAGGAAGACAAGGGATGGGGGGAGTGTGAATAATTAAAATCGGTGTTTTTTTACCAAAGCAGGGCTTTTATTCAGAGGAAACCATCTTTTCTCGTGGGAAAAGGTTGTGCTGTAAAAATGTTCATTTCTGATAAGAAATGTGGTCAGGGCTGACCAGAGCTGAGCTGGTGATGGCAGCGTGGGGGTGAAGGCATCCCAGCCCAATCCCTGCTGGGCCCTACGTGGCCGAGTACGCCCAGAAATACAGCTTCAAACATCTCAAGAGGAAAGGGAATGTTTCAGGCTGTGCTGGAGCGGGGTAGAGCCAGGTTTCTGCTATTTGCTTCCCTGTCTGAAATCCATCCCCTCAAAACCCAGGTTGGGTTTGCTGCTGGCGGAGCTCGGGGTTGAGGCTTTATTTGCTTTCTGTGCAATACCTGAAGCGCGTGTTGCAGTGACTTGGGTGGGAATTGAGCTGCTTGTTAGCTGAAATTGAAAATTATAATTTGCGTGTGTGTTTGGGAGAGAAAGAGTGTTTGTTTATGGGAGGGAAGCGCGTGTGTGTGCCTGCACATGCGTGGGAGGGGCTTTGTGTGGAAGTGTGTGTGTATATATACACACGCATACATACACTGATGCCCCGAGACTGTGTTAATGTGACGATAACACAACCTAGATAATACCTCTGGGGGGAGGTGAGGCTGATCACCAAAGAGGAAGCTTGGTAGAAGAGATCAAATCCAGCCGCTTTTTTACCCTTTTTCATCCTCTCCTCTTGAGGGATGAGGATGAACCGAGGGTCTTGTGCAGCCCAGCCATCATCTTCTCATCACCCTCCCCCTCGTGCCCATCTCCCAGCTTTGCTCTATCCCCGCAGGTCCAGGCGAATGTGGAGAAGTCCTTGACTCTCTTCGGGCAGCTCCTGAACAAGAAGCACTTCTTGCTGACCTTCATCCGCACTCTGGAGGCTCAGCGGAGCTTCTCCATGCGGGACCGCGGCAACGTGGCCTCCCTCATCATGACAGCGCTGCAGGGCGAGATGGAGTACGCCACCGGCGTGCTGAAGCAGCTCCTCTCCGACCTCATTGAGAAGAACCTGGAGAGTAAGAACCACCCCAAGCTGCTCTTGCGGAGGTGAGCGTCCATCTGAGAGCCTGGAGCTGTGGGACGGCGTCCCGGCTCTTGCGAGCGTGTGGACGTGAGCTGGTGTCCTTGAGGGATGCCATCAGGGATGGCTTTGGTGGCGGTGCTGGGTCTGTCATCAAGCATTTCCTTGCCTGTCTGCGTGCAAGTAGGAGAAGGATGCGAGGCCGCCTGGCCCCAGCAGCTCAGGAGGTGCCCGTGGGATGTTCTGGTTTGAGCGGTGTGAGTTGGTGTTGGCTGGGAAGCAGAGAACAAGGTGCTCGGCACCTGCAGGGGCTAGCGCAGGGAGGGTGCACGCGGGTGTCGGGCGCTGTTGGGTATTTCTGCAGCCATGCTCCCTCCTGCTTTCCCTTCTCTGGGGGACCAGGGGGTGCCCCCTCTCAGCACCTGGGGCGGCTCTCGCCTTGCTGCACGGGTGGCTCGGCGAGCTGGCAGCAGGCAGTCGTCCTCCTTTCCCCGCTGCCTCCTCGGGGCTTGCCCACCTTGCCAGGCATGTGGGGGTTTTCCTGGGAAAGCCAAGCGGATCTTTGCAAGCTGGGAGTCTTGCCGGGGCGGGGAGGGAGTGTGAGCAGGAGGCAGCCTGCCAAGCCCTGCCGTGAGCCTGCCTGGCCCATCAATATTTAACGATAGCTCTGAGCTCTCCTTCATCACGGGCTGATGAATATTGAAAGATACACCAAGTGCTGAACAAAAACAATTAATAAGCTGCACCAGCCCAGCTCGAGGCCCTCCGTGCTGTTTTCTCCCTTCGCATGCCGTGCCGTGCCTCCCCATCTCCTCCTCCACCAACCTGATGCCACCAGCCTCCAGCAGAGATGCAGGGACGGCTGAGAGCCCTGGGGCTGGCAAGTCACCAGAAAGGCTCGAGAAGACTTAGAGCTTCTTTCAAACATCAACCGATGTTCGTGGCACGGCTGGACTGGACAAAGCCTGTTGGATTTTATGTCTGGCCCTGGGGAGACGCCTGGAGAAGACACAGATGTGAGCTGGTCCCAGTTACACCCCTGCTGCCTTCCCTCGGACAGTCTCTTTAGGCACATGGTTTTCTTATTCTCTCTGCTTCATTTATCCCCTTGCAAGGGTGCCCTTAATTTCTCAAATCACCTCATCAGTGACGTGCCAGTGAGGGGGTGCGGTGCGGACCTGTGGCTGGCCAGGGGGTGGCTCTTGGAGGTGCTGACCCCTCTCCTCCATCCCTGTTCCCTGAGCATATCCATAGGCTCTTCCCTTCTTGCTGTCCCTCCACGACACCAGGCTTCACTGAAATATTTAAACTGCCTTTCCAGCTTCTGGGTCTCTCGGAGCATCACGAAGTCGCTGCCATCGGAGCAAAACTCCGGAATGAAGTAAATCAATAAAATATAAATAAAAGGCAGCGCGGGGAGCCAGCGGCTGCAATGGCTGAGCCGTGGGGGTGGCACAGGGGCAGAGCCCAGCCTGGGTCAGCGCGGTGGGAGCTGGCAGCCCGAGGACTGTCGCTCCCCAGCCGCCGAGCTCCAGGACCTGCTGCAGGTGGAGCTGCAGGAGGGTGAGGACGGGGCCGGTACCTTTGCTTGTGCCTCCCCAAGTGAGATTTAGTGAAGAGACTTTGTTCTTCCCTGCGGCCACGGCGTGCAGCAAGCAGTGCTGAGGGCTGTGCTTCGCTGTCCTTTGGATTAGCCCTGCCGTTGGGCGTGAGACCGTGATTACCGCCCAGGGCAACTGGATTAACAGGACTCTAACTGGGGAGAGCTGCTATTTATTTATTTTGTAATTGGATAATCCCCCCGTTGCTGTGGCATCTGGCTCTATCGCGGATAAAGACAAACATCCTCTGGAGCCTGGGTGGTGGCACTTTGGATGAGTGTTACAGGCTTGTCAGCAAAGAACCTGGGCCGGGGAGGATGTTTGCTGAGTAACTTCAGTCTACTCACATCCCTTTTCTTTTCCCTTTTTCCTTCCCTTTTCCCTTTTTCCTTCCCCTTGATGGATTAATCTTTCTGGCTGGGTGCAGGGAAGCTTCCCTCCCCTGAAGGCTCAGGCATTGCCATCCCCTAATGGTTTAAGAAGGGCCATGCTATTCCAGAGAGGGCAAAAAGGGCTAAGCCCCATTAGCGGAGAGAAACCCTTGGAAGGGACCATACAACCCGCAGTCAGCTTGAATAAACTCTGAGAAAGTGGATTTCCGACCCCAGCCATCTGGCCATCGGGAACTGCTCCCGGCCCATCTGCTGGGCCTGGCCTTGCCGTTGAGCAGGGCATGGTGTTGGGCAGTGGGTCTCCTTCGGGTGGCTCTGACGTGCGGGTTCCTTCTGGGTTTTGTTCCTTGAGCCAACCCGTTTGTATCCGTTCCTCTGGCGCAAGAGGAATGCAGCCACGTCCCGGAGATTTTTAGTATTGCTTGTGCTTTCAGGAGCATCTGTGTGTGCAAACAGCTGATCCGATGATTAATGGGTGGATAAGCTGAAGAAGCCGAACTGGAGAGGGTCGAGGGGCTGGCTGGCATTTTTATTTTAAAGGGAGTTGAAAGCCACTTTAAAAATAATGGATGTGTTAAGGGGAGTTTTAATCTTTTGGCAGCAAGGCCAGGCTGCGGTGCAGAGACGGGTGCGTTAAGCTGCCCTTGTAGGGCTGCACAGTTCACCCGGGTCCTGTGTCACCTTCAGCTCCCTCCGTGCCAGGCTGTCCCTCTCCTCTGCTGCTGTGGCACGTCCTGGCTGCAGCACCACCCCCCAAGGTCCCCCCCATCCCATTGCGTCCCACCGTGTCTCACACCGATGTCGTGGAATCCTGCTCTCCCTCTTGTGCTCCTACAGCGCGGGGGTGGCTCCCCTGGTCCTCCCCTGCCGTGCTGCTTTGGAGCCCAGTGGCATCTCTGAACCATGCTGGAGGAGACTAGGGGCAATATCTAGGTTTTCTCAAGGCAGTTTTAGCTGCTTCCTTCAACTGCATCTCCAGAAGCCGAGAGGCACAGCTCTGTTTTTCAACTCCTTTTGGAGCAGGTGGTCGGAGCATTGTTCACCGTCCCACTCTGGGGAGACACACAGAGACCTGGGATTTCCACCATGCAGGCAGGGACGGGTTAAGTCCCAAACCTGACACAGTGTCTTCACACTGGGCTCCAAAGGTAGATGGAAAACGGCTTAAGCTTCCAGCCACTGCTCTTACTCCTTGCTCCTTTAATCCCCTTGGGTTTGGCTGAATTAGTACTGGGGATGAGTTTGACCAAAACCATGCTGGCATCAAAGTCTCCAGACCCAGTTGCAGCAGTGGCTTTAACCAAGGCCAGGTAGCAGTGGACCAGTGCCCCCTCTGTGCTGTGGGGCTCTGCATCCCTGCCCAGAGCCACCCAGGTCCCGGCCCAAGGGCAGGGGCTTGGGGAGAAGTGAGGGTGCAGAGCCTGGCCTCCTGAAGCTTCCCCAGCACCACTGCGGAGCGGGAAAACTCTCTATCCCTCCAGTGTTGGTGGTGATTGTCCTTTTGGTCCTGGGCTTTGAGGCTGTAGAGATCAGGGGCTACTCTGGGGGTTGCAGGGAAGTCCCACGTCACCCAGCAGCGCTGGGCGGGTGTCAGGGCAGCGGCAGTATCGAGGGCACTGCAGGAGCTCTCCGGTGGGGCCGGCGGGCTTCCAGCATCATCAGGCACGGGGGGTGTGGGAGGAGGTGCTGCTGCTGCTGGGAACGGGGGTCAGCATCTGACTGTGCCTTGCAACCTCAGCTCTTCCCGTCGGGTTGCGCTCTGACTGGGGAGCTTGAGGTAGGTCTGGGGACGTTTTACCTGGCTTTGGTGTCTCGTACAATCCTCATGTGGAGGGAGCAGCCTGATTCTAGTGGGATGTGATGGAAGAAACAAACTTCATTCAAGTAGGAGAGAGAAGCCAGAACCAGGGAAAAGCAGAAAGCTGGTCGTCCCCTGGGCGAGAGTCCCCACGGGAGGAGATTGTGCTTGGCGCTCTCTGGTTCTCCAAATATACTGGAGAACTATTTGCTTATTCTCCTGGGGGCTGTCTGCTCGTGCCCCTTTGCTTCAAGGCTCCTGCCTTTCCAGATGTGACCTTTTAAAGCCAAAAATAATTTCACCACAGCCCAAGGGCTGAGGTGGCAGCGGGGGAGATCAGAGACCTTTAATATCCTCTGCTGACAGCTTTGCTCTCTGCCTTCCCTACAGGACGGAGTCGGTGGCAGAGAAGATGCTGACGAATTGGTTCACGTTTCTGCTGTACAAGTTTCTGAAGGTGAGTTTGGGAAGGGCTGGCAACCCCGCGTGGGCAGGGAGGCGGTTCAAGCCTTGCTGGGACAGGCAGCGTGGTACCCAGAGCCTGGAACGACGTGTTCCTGAGCACTGCTGCTCCCTCCCGGCGCAGAGATCCCTTCCCAGGCCTCCATTCCCATCCCGGGGTTCTGGGATATGATTGATGATTCTGGGTCTCCTTTTGGGGAAATAACTGAGCTGATTGAGAAATGAAATCCAGACTGGGATTGCTTAACACTTAGTGGGTTTGAGATCTTCTTCAAAACGGTGCCTGGAGAAAGGATAAGTCTGAAGCAACTCAGCTGAGTCTTGAAGCCCTTCAGTGTGGTCCCAATTCCTCCCTCCTTCTGTAACTCGAGAGGAAGAAGCCCCAGAAGCTGGTCCCTGTGTGGACATGACTGATGGGAGGAAATTTCTGCCTGTTTGAGCTGTAGTTTGATGTGCTGCACTCTTCACGTAACGCCACTGCTTTTCCTTCGTCTCTCTGATGCTGAGGCTGCGTGGACGGGAATCAATTCCCCCGGCATCTCCACTTCTGCTTCCCTGCAAAGGTGCCGTGGTGGGGATGGGCAGCCCGCGGGGCCTGTTGTCAGCTGGGGACACGTGTAAGGGCTGTTTTTACCGCTGGTTTATCCAGCCCATATGGAGAACGTTTATCCCGTCAGCACCGGTGCTTCCCCTTGCAGCTGCTGGGGGTTACAGCTCCCGCCCGTGGACCCCCAGCTCTGTCCTGCTGCTCCTTCGGGGTGACACCAGCGGGTGAACGGCGCCTGCGGTCCTGCCGCCGGCTTGTCAGTCAGCAGAGCTGTTCCTTGGGATCCTGCCTGGCGTCAGCTCAGCGAGGCTGGGTGGCACGCAGCCGTTTTTGTGGGATTTCATCCCTCATTAAGATAAAGAGGGTTTGAACCGTTTCCAGCCAAGAGATGAGAGCGAGCAGGAGTCTGTGCAGAACTCAAGTGATCGTCAACGAGAGGTGATTTATAATATCACTTACATGCACTTGGCTTTTTGCCTCTGTCGAGGGATAGCCTGTATCTATAAAAATCTAGCTGTAGCGTGTGTGAAGGTTGCTTTCCAGGGGTGAGAAAGGAGGAAGGCTGTGCCATTCGTGGGGAGGTGTCAAACATTTCTTCGAACCAGGGTGTTCCTCAGCAGGGCCACCCTCTGCCCCTGCAGCGCCAGTGCCCAGTGGGATCAGGTGGGACACTGGCAGATGCCCTTTGGGCTCTGTGGGGTGAGTGGGACAGGCAGGAGTAGCTCTGGCTGTGGATAAGCTCCCTCAAGGCTCCTAGAAGTGGATGGGGTTGTGCTTTGGCCAAGTGGAGCGCTGTGCACGGCCTTTGGATGCCCACAGCGGTGTTTGGGGACCTTGTGCTTGTGTGTGTGAATTGATGCACTTAGAATCGCAGGATACCAGAATCATGGAGGTTGGAAAAGCCCTTGCAGCTCCTCCAGCCCAACCATGACCCTCCCCCTGACCCTTCCCAACTCCCCCAGATCCCTCAGCGCTGGCTCAGCCCGACTCTTCAACCCCCCCAGGGATCCCGGGGACTCCCCCCTGCCCTGGGCAGCCCATTCCAACGCCCAACAGCCCCTTCTGCACAGAAATCCTTCCTCAGAGCCAGCCTGACCCTGCCCTGGGCAGCTTGAGGCCATTCCCTCGGGGCCTGGCGCTGGGGCCTTGGCTCCAGAGACTCATCCCCCCTCTCTGCCCCCTCCTGGCAGGGAGTTGCCGAGGGCCAGGAGGTCTCCCCTCAGCCTCCTCTTCTCCAGACTGAACCCCCCCAGTTCCCCCAGCCGCTCCCCAGCAGACCTGTGCTCCA